ATGCTCTGAATGCTGTGTGCTTTGTACTTTAAGCTATACTGGTGTCCACAGTGCTCCCCAAGGAGTTTGTTTCCCAGTGGAACTGGCAGTATGGCCAGTAGCAATACAGCATCATTCCCATTAGGTTCAGAGGATGCTCTCTTACAGTTTTACAATGTATACTCTGTGTTTTTGCACAACAGCACTGTGAGAAGCTGTCCAGTGGGTTGGAAAGCGTACATCTCTTATCAGCCCAGACCAGAATAACCTCAATGAAAACTGCCAGCTAGGCACAAAATCTGCTCCTTGTTCATCAACACAAGGAGCAAAGATGGCAACCAAAAGCCAGGTACTTTTTTGCCCAGCTGCCTCCCTTGCTATTCCTACTCCTGTAACTTGAGAAGTTAAAAGAGTTAGAATGGGGCTTTACCTACTGAGCACAGAGCCTGCTCTGCCTTTCCCTTATGTTTTTTATGTGCTCTGAATTATCTAGAGAAGACGACTGTTGCCTGTTCTATAGCAGGAGCCTTCCTATATCACACTGCTGTGGATGCCACAGCAGACATAGTAAAGAGAGCTAAATTTCATTAAAGTGAAAAATCTGATTTCAACTTTGGAAGAGGTTCCTCTCTCCTATGAGAGCAGCTGCTAAGTGTTTCTAGCAGGATAGTAATCTCCTGTATTATCATGCAGGGAGCTCCCATGCACAGGATTTTACAGTACTAGAATTTCCTGGGTAGGAAATAAAATTTTTCATTAGTTGAAGAGGAGGCTGAAGGAAACTTGATCCCACTACCAAGACGAAGTCAAGACTGCCTATGTTCCAAGGCTTTTTGGTCTGGCAGTCAAAGTTAGAGCAAGACCCCATGACTGTACGTCGACGTTGCAAACCCATAAAGGGAAATGTAACGCACAATTTTAACAGTGTGAGCCACAGGAAACATAACGGAACAAATGAGTGAAGAATGAGGTAGTATCTTTCAAGCCGAGTCTCCAAACAATCCGCTGTTGCTCAAAGGCAAAAATTTTAGGGGCAAATCTGTAGTTCAGTGTAAAAGTCAAACCATACAAACAGGTGGTGCTTGAATAGGAATGTAAGACTAAAAGGATCACTCGGGTCCTTGCGCCCTGTGCTGTACATTTGGAGTACATGTCTTTTCAAAAACAATCCAAGCCATCATAATGGCACACTGTGGTGGGTTGACTGTGGCTGGCTGCCATGTGCCCACCAAGCCGCTCTGTCTCCCGCCTCCTCAGCTGGACACGGGGGAGAAAATATGACGAAAGGTTCGTAGGTCAAGATAAGGACAGGGAGATCACTTACCAAATACCATCACGGACAAAACAGACTTGTCTTGGGGGAATTAATTCAATTTATTGCCAATCAAATCAGAGTAGGATAGTGAGAAATAAGAACAAATCTAAAACCACCTTCCCCCCCACCCCTCCCTTCTTCCCAGGCTCAACTTCACTCCTGATTTTCTCTACCTCCTCTTCCCCTGCTCCAGCGTGGGGTCCCACCCATGGGAGACAGTCGTCCGCGAACTTCTCCAATGTGAGCCCTTCCTCACAAATTGCTCCAGCATGCGTCCTTTCCACAGGGTGCAGTCTTTCCGGAGTGGACTGCTCTAGTGTGGGTCCTGCCAGAAGACCTGCTCCCGCGTGGGCAACTCTCCACAGGGCCACAGGTCCTGCCAGGAGCCTGTTCTAGCGCAGACTCTCCACAGGGTCACAGCCTCCTTTGGGCATCCATCTGCTCCGGCGTGGGGTCCTCCATGGGCTGCAGGTGGGTATCTGCTCCACCATGGACCTCCATGGGCTGCTGGGGGACAGCCTGCCTCACCATGGTCTTCACCACGGGCTGCAGGGGAATCT